CCACTACCACTACCAATACCACTACCACTACCACTACCACTACCACTACCACTACCACTACCACTACTACTACTACTACTACTACTACTACTACTACTACTACTACTACTACTACTACTACTACTACTACTACTACTACTACTACTACTACTACTACTACTACTACTACTACTACTACTACTACTACTACTACTACTACTACTACTACTACTACTACTACTACTACTACTACTACTACTACTACTACTACTACTACTACTACTACTACTACTACTACTACTACTACTACTACTACTACTACTACTACTACTACTACTACTACTACTACTACTACTACTACTACTACTACTACTACTACTACTACTACTACTACTACTACTACTACTACTACTACTACTACTACTACTACTACTACTACTACTACTACTACTACGACTACTAAACTACATTCATCAGAATACTAATCATACCGTGCCGCTGGGCGCGGAGCGGGCGTGTCGTCAGGCCCTGGGCCCAAGGCTCCACGCCTGAATCCTCGCTCCTGAGGCCTCTTCACGGGGCCCCGGCCCCTCGCTCTCACATCTCCCAGGACTTGGCGCGGGCCCCCGTAGGACTTGGAGCGTGCCCCCTTAGGGCTTCCCGCGTGCCCCTTGGGCTCTGCCAGGAGGTGGCGCGTGCATTTTGTTCGGTCCCACGAGGGCCCCAAGACGGCCCAGGAGGCCCCAAGCGGCCTACGAGACGCCCAAAGATCGGCCCCAAACGCGCAACATGCTCCAAGGGGCTCCCCAAGAGGCAAAATCCATTGATTTCCTGTCAAGTTTTGGAAAGATTTGGGCGTTCTCGCCTGTTCGGCTCTCCTACGCTCCAAGGCGGCCCAAGAGGCCCCCACAAATCACCCCAATAACGGCCCCATAGACCTACACCGGGGCCCCAAGACGGCCCAAGAGCTCCAAGACGGCCCAAAGGCGCCCAGAACGGCCCCAAAAATAAGACGCTGTGCGGCTCCAGCGTCCCCGTTACCGCCCGTCGCCGCCGCCCCGTGGCACCAACCTCCCCGTGGCATGGAACTCGCAGTGTTTTACAATTGCATCCCGTTGCATTGCAATCGCATGGCGCTGCATTGCTTTGCATGATTTTGCATTGTTGTGCATTGCTTTGCATTGCGCTGCGATGCCTTGCATTGCTTTCCATTGCTTTGCATTACGTTGCTTTAGATTGCATTGCATTGCTCTGCGTTTCTTTACATTGCCTTGCATTTGACCACACCGGTTGCATCACCTAGATTGCACCACGTAAGCTGCATCGCACCTATTGCAAGAGTTCACTGTTTAGGGCCCACGCTGGATAACATGTCTTTAATATACCTGTCATCTTCAAGACGATCGCCCCTGAAACTTCCGACTGCATCCCCATGACTTTGTTACGTTACGTGTGACTCGTCGTTGGCCCTGGGCCAGAAACTAATGGGGGATATGTAGACCCCTATGCCAAGCTTCGTGGGGTTTTCGAATGGACCAGAAATTTGGGGCCCAGCCCTGGGATATACGATGGGGGGCGTCTATCCTCGATAGGGGTGCGCCCGAATAGCCCCCTTGGGGTGTATCCCAAACTTTCCCTCCTCCTCTGACCGGCTTCATTTGTCCTTCAAGAGTCGGGGGTTGGGGGAGCAGGATCGCCTGCGAGAGAAGGGGTCCCAATGCCCGACCACGTTTCCAGCCCGCCGCCGTGATTTCGCCACGGTGCCTGCAGGCCTACGTTCCCCCTCGCCGGAGACCGATCCCTGGACCAGCCCTGCGGCGCGCTCTGGCCAGAATCTTGAAGCGGATGCAGCGGTGGCGGCGCAGGCGTCCCAGGAGGCCCCCCAAATGGTCCCCAAAAGACTCCCAGGAGGACCACCCGGTCCTTCCCAGAACTTGACGTCCAGAGCCTCCCAGGAGTAGCTGAGCTTAGCCACTCCCTTGGTGATCTCACCCTCTGGAGGCTCGCCCCTGAGCTCGGCCTGGTGACGCTTCAGCGCTCGGAGCGAGGCGATGCCCTTCTCCGCAGCGTCTCTGCAGCTTCGCTCAACGAGCATTCGCGGCATGGCAACGGTAGGAGGCACCCTCAGATGCGGCACAACCGACATCAAGTGGGTCCAATCCTTCGAGGTGAGCTGCTGGTAGAAATTCGAGGGGTGCGGGAACCGCGTGGGAATGCCTGCCTTCTCGCATGCCTTCATCAACCGGAAGAGCGACTTCCGGTCGACCATGGCGGCCCCGTGGTCCTCCCCGGTCTCATAATTCGGAACGCAATTCTCCTCGAACCCGGTCGGATAAAGAAAGAACATCCCGACTGTGCGCTTGGCTCGCCGGGCCGGGTGATGCTGTCCAAAGACGAGGTGGACCGTGTCTGCCAGCTTCACCAAATCTGTCTGGTCCTCGACGTACACCGTCCACACCTCGTAGTCCGTGCCGAGCTGCGGCACCACCGCCATGTCGACGAAGGACTCGAGGAAGAGGTCGGACACCGAACTCCCCGTTTCGCCCCACTGCTCTGGCGCGATGATCTCGTTCATCCCGCCCCACCGGAACGCCAGCACTGCCTGAGAGCAATGACCAACAAGAGCCCGATCTGGATATCCGTTTCGCTCTGGAGTGCGCAAAAGCCAGCATGATCAATCCTACACCCTATTCTACCTCCTCTCCCTCCTGCTCTTCCTCCTCCGTCTCCTCCCCCCCCCGTCCCCCTCCACTCCTCTCCCCCCCTCCCCCTCCCCTCACCGTTGCCCTTCTCCTCCACCTCCTCCCCACTTCTGTCCCCCCCCTGCTCTCCTCGTCCTTTCCTCCTCCTCCTCCTCCTCCTCCTTCTCCATTTCCCTCGCTCCTCCCCTTTGTCCTTCACCTATGCTGCTGCTGCTGCTGCGTCGATGGCAATGGGACGCGTCGAGCAACGCCTCACATCCAGGGGAAGATTTCCCCAAACACCCGAACACCTCCAATGATCGCGGAGGGGAAGCGTCCACCTCCTCCTCTTCCTCCTCGTCGCTTCTCCTCTTCCCTCTCACTCCGACCTTCTGGACCCCCTCTGGAGCGCTCCCTGACCAAGATTCGAAGCGAATGCAGCTATGGCGACGATGCCCTCCAAGGAGGCCTCAATTAAGATTCAGCATGCTGTTAGCCATCGTGAGCTCCAAACAACGATTTCTTGCAATCTATGCGGCGCAATCTAGGTGGACGACTGTGGTGCAATCTCGGTGGTGCAATCCATGTGGTGCAATCTGTGTGGTGCAAAATCACCCTGCCGAACTTGAACTTGTCAACTCCACTGCTCGCGCAATCACCACACCCTCCCACCTGCAACTTGGTTTGCAAAATCCATGCGTCGGCGGTTGCGGTGACTGCTTGACACTGGCTGGTGCATCGCTGAGGTCGCGCGAGCGTGCGCAGGCTCGCGCGCAGAGCGGCCAGTTAGTCTGGCGCGACCCACGCGCCCGCGATGGTGCTGACCGTTAGGGGCTTTCCCACCAAGCCTCGCAAGCCGCGCTGACCCGCAGGCACTTCGGTGCGAGTCGGTGACTCGGGCGGGCGCGGTATCATGGCGACGCCAGAGACAGCGGCTAACACGATGATGATCGTGGCGATGCTAGTGACCGCGATGACGATGATCGTGTCCACGTCTCGGTGGTGAACGTTTTGGAAGGATTTCACATGCGCGCGGCCGACGGGCGCGAGTTGCCCGCATGGTATTCTTTGACAGGGATCGTGCCCCCCAACGCGCACGCAAGGGCGTTTCAATGATTTCGACACGCGCGCGCGAGAGGCCCACTTGGTCGAATGTGATGACAATCTTGAACGACAGGAAAAGTGTTTTGTTCGGAGATCTCGTAAGAACGCGCGCGCCGTGCTTTGTTCGAAGAACATGCTGCGAATCCCTGTTGTTTTTTATATGTTATCGGGGACCTCGATCTTGATACCCCTACGGCACCTATTTTTTTGACGGATTTCGGCAAGCGCGCGACGACGCAGGCGTGTGCACTGCGTGCCGTTTCTTTGAAGAAGGTGTTCGCGAATAAGTGGTCTTTGGTGAACGAAGATGCGCGAATAACATCATTTGACGAAGCTGAGAAGGGGGGCGAACCCGGCTTGGCTGGGATGGCGTGGAGTCGTATTCAGAATGAACGGTTGGGGCAAAACCATATGCAATTTGCACACCCAAGGTGCCGATAACCCCGTAGGGCAGGTGGTAGAACCTAAACCTGTTCTAAATAAGTGACCAATGCATTGCAATGCAAAGCGCTGCAGAGCAATGCGTTGAAGTGGCACGCTGTGCAAATTTATGCGATGCAGTGAACAAAATGCAAAACGATGCAATGCAATGGAAAGCATGACAAAACAATGCACAGCAACGCAAAGCAAGGCGCAACAATGCAAAGCAATGCAAGGTGACGCAAGGTAAACCAATGCAGCGCGACGCATAACAATGCAACCCAATGCGAACACAGTACGCCAGCAATGCTCAGCAATACGATGCAACGCAAGGCATTGCGAAGCATTGGCGATGATATAGCAATGCACAGCACTGTAGAACAATGTAGAACGACACAAAGCAACGCAATGCAAACAATTCGACATGATGCGACGCAATGCGCAGCAACGCGTAGCATTGCAATGCGACAGCAACGCGCCAGTAATGGAAACAATGGCAAGCAATGCGCACACATGCGTAACAATGCAATGCGACAGTACTGCGCTAGCAACGCAAAACAATGCGAACCAATGCAAACCAATGGAGACAATGCAAATCAATGCAACTGGGTGCAAAGCAATGCGAACAAATGCGTAGCAATATCAACAACAACAATGCAACGCACTGCAATGAACATCCGTGCAACGCAACGCAACGCAATGCAAACCAAGGCGACGCAGCGCGACGCAATGCAACTGAGTGCAACACAATGCAGAGCACGGCAAAACAAAGAAAACATGCCAAGCAAATCAACGCAACGCAACGCAATGCAGAACACACTACGATATCAATGTCAAGCAATGCGATAAGAATGCGCAGCAACGCAACGCAATGCGACTGCAGTGCAATGTGAGGAAATGTAAAGCACTTTGACACTGTGACTGCTATACCACGCAATCCAATCCAGCGGCGACGGCGGCGACAAGCGGCGGCGGCGGCGACGACGGGCGGCTACATGCCGCCCGGATCTCCACACTTTTTGCGTCGGCGGCTGGGCAGAGGTTGCTGCTCCAGCGATCGGGCATCAATGGGGCGCGCTAGATGCAAACTGGGCCGCGGTGCGCGGAGGAAGAAGAAGGGCGCCGGGCGCAGGCGGGAACCAGACCGCCACACACCCTCAGTTACCAACGGCGACGGCGGGCGGCTATATGCCGCCCAGACCGCCACCCAGGCCGAGTTCCACATGAGAGAAGCAAGGGCCCCAAAGTGCAAGAACTGTTCGGGGAAATGACATAGTCATCCTCCCCCTCCTCGAATACCGACGCAGTGTTCTTGTTTCGCGACGCGTGCCGCTAGACCTTTCGACCCTTTATCGGTGACCGATGTTCCAGGTTCTTCCTGGAAATGGCTCAAGCCCAAGGTTCAACTTGTCTCCTGTACCATGTTCGAGGTAGGTCGGCGGAGCCTTTTTCGTTGATGTACAATGAGGTCGAGGTGAACCAAATTATTGTCTGAGGATGTCTCTGGCGAAACGCCGTTTTTCTGGAGTTCCGTTTGATCAATAGCAAGGTGTGGGCAACCATTCATGAAAAAGCATTCCGTGCATGTCCGCCCGAGGATGGTGCGCCCTCCACATCGGATCCTGTACTAGTAGCGGAGTTCGCAGGGTCCGCAAACCCCCTACTTATGCGGCCAAGATGGCCCCACTATGGCCCAAGAGAGCCCCCAGACGGCCAAAGAGGGCACCAAGGGACCCCCCAAGACTGCCCGACAGGAGTCCCCGACCGCCCCAAGACGGAGCTCCCCAAGAAATGAAGTCGAAAGGTGTCACACATGACGGGCTCCTCCTCCTCGTCATCCGCATCCTCATTGTCCTCATCACTCTTATCATCTGATCATCCTCCTCATCCTCATCACGGCTTTCTGAAGGGGCCCTGGGACACACAAATAAATACACACAAATAAACAGATTCCCCATGTTTTCATACATTTTCTGGGTTTTTGTCTTCCCCACCGCTTCCCATATTTTCACAGATTTTCTGGGGGATCGACGATTAATTGTGTCTGTGTGTTTTTTCCCTTCCTGACTCTCCCATGCCTGGAATCACGAGGTGTCACGCGCGACGGCTTCCTTGCCTCGTCGACCAGTCGCCACCCATCTTGCTGGGCTGGCCGGGCGGGGCTGGCCGCAGGCAGCTGGAGAGGAGTGCAGCACGACTCAACACAGCATGATGCAGCACTGCTTGGCACAGCGCGGCACGGCCCTTGCCAACGTATCGTTATGAGTACTCGCACCTGAGCGCCACCTCTGCCCATCGCCGAAGTCAGGTGTCTTGACATGTGCCCGTGCCCCGCCACTATACCCTTTCTGGGTTCGCGGGTCGCTCGTGCTTCTGATTCTCCTGGGCCCTGGGCCCGACAACGGCCCTCGATGAGCGACGTTTCGAAGCGACTCGCGACGGATGAAGTCTGGGCCACTCCTTCTCCTCAAGATCGCCCCCTGGACCAGCCACCGGGCGCGTTCTAGACCGAATCCCGAAGCAGATCTGGCCATGGCGACGAGAAGCCTCGTGAGAACCGCCGAACACCTCGATCCCCGAGCCTCCGTCTCCTCTCGGCGGCGCGCGCCCAGGAAGGCAGGCTTAGGGGGCGGGCCTTGTCAGAAGGCTCCGAGGGCCTCTGGCCTCCCGAGAAAAAATCCCGAGCCTTCCCCGAAGGCGCAAAGGGCTTCCCAGAAGGCGCGAAGGTTTCTGGGAAATCCCGCAGCCTTCTGAGAAGAAGTGCCCTCGCTCACTCTCCTCCCCTCCTCCTCCTCCTCCTTCTCCTCCTCGTCCTCCTCCTCCTCGTCCTCCTCCTCGTCCTCCTCCTCCTCCTCCTCCTCCAACTCCTACTCCTCCTCCTCCTCCTCCCTCCCCCAGCGCGCTGCCGATCTTCCTACTATTGGAAGAAGCCCGGGCGACGAGCTCGGGCTGCGAGCCGGGGGGCACCAGCGCCCGGAAGGGGGCGCCGCGCTCGTCGGGGTCGCCCGCGGGCATCACGTGGGGGGCGGGGTACAGCTCGGTCCAGGGCTCCTGTGTGGGGGGGGGGAGGCGCAGAAGGAAAGGGACTGTGGGAGGAGGGGGAGGAGGGGGAGGACGAGGAGGAGGGAGGGGGAGAGGAGGAGGAGGAGGAAGGAGGAGGAGGAGGAGGAGGAGGAGGAGGAGGAGGAGGAGGAGGAGGAGGAGGAGGAGGAGGAGGAGGAGGAGGAGGAGGAGATAGGAGGAGGAGAGAGGAGAGAGGAGAGAGGAGGAGGAGGAGGAGGAGAAGGAGGAGGAGGAGAAGGAGGAGGAGAATGAGGAGGAGGAGGAGGAGGAGGAGACAGGAGGAGGAGGAGGGTAGGTGGGGATTCCATTGTCAATCCGTATGATTATTTCGGAAATGCATATGAAACTTTAGGCCATCCATATGCCGAACGAATCCGATGTATTCTTTTTGAAAACGTCGACAAACACATATTGACTTCAAAATCCAATCGGTCACCGTTAAGGGTTCACCTTCGTTTCCAGACGAACACGGCAAGTTTTCCATTGTGGACAATGGATAATTCGCAACGCACGCATCCGCGTGCGCGATAGGGTGAGACACGCGCGGGCGTGTCACCTGAAATCCCGTTGGTTACCGACATCGTGGACAATATAAACTCGCCACGCGCGCGTTCGCGCGCGCGTGGCGATATTTGTATTGCCCAAAACGGAGATTTGCCATGCTGGCCTGGACAACAAATGTACTCTTAATGCTGACCGCTTGTATTTTGACGTTAACATGCGTGTGTCCGATGCTTTCCAACATAGAAAAGTCAACATGTTGGCCTGGATACTAAAGTGAACCCTTAACGGTGGCAGATTGGATTTTGAAATTGAAATGCGTTTTCGATGTTTCAAAGCAACCCATCGGATTCCCTACACATTTCCAAATGGAAGTCCTCAGGATTCCTATGAATTTCCAAACGAATCATATGTTTGCTGTAGGAATCCTATGAATTTCCAAAAGGAGTCGTATGTTCCAAAGGAAACCAAAGGATTGCCGAAAGGGATCCTATGGTTTCCTTCTGAATCCTATGGATGTCCTAATGATCCCTATGGATGTCCGAAGGACTCCTGTAGAGTGCTTAAGGAATCCTATGGATTTCCCACAAGGAATCCTGAGGATCTCCTGAGGGTTCCTATGGATTCCCTAAAGGCCCCTATGGTTCTTCTACGGATTCCTATGCATGTCCCAAGGAATCCGGGATTTCCGCAGGAATCGTATGGATTGCCGAAGGACCCTTATCGATTTCCGAAGGAATCCGATGGATGTCTGAAAAGAAGCAAATAGATGTCCAGCAAGGAATCCAATGGATTTCCTCCGGAATCCTATGGCTGTCCTAAGGCATCCCATTGATTTCCTAAGGAATCCTATGGATTGCATAAAGAATCCGACGGGTTTCTGCAAGGATCCCATGGGTGTCCTATGGAATCCGATCGATGTATCAAGGCATCCTACGGAGTTCCGACGGATGCTAGCACAAATCCTAAGGAACCCCATAGCTTTCCCGAGGAAGCCTATAGGTTTCCGAAAGAATCCTATGGACTGTCTTACAGAATCCGGAGGATGTCCTGCGGAATCCTATGGGTGTCCAAAGGTATGCTTCAGATTTCGTAAGGAATCCTATGTGTGTCCTGAAGAATCCTACGGATTTCGTTAGGAATCCGATGGATTTCCTCCGGAATCCTAAAATGTGTCCAAAAGGAATCCTATGGATTTCCTGCGGAATCCTATGGGTTTCCTAAAGAATCCGATGGATGACATAAGGGATTCGGATGTCCGAAGGAACCCCATGGATTTCCTAAGGAAGCCCATGGATGTCTGGAGGATTCCGGTGGATTTCCTACGGACTCCTATGGCTTGTCCTCGGATTCCTATATACTTCCTAGGGACTCCTATGGATTTCCTAAGGAATCATATCGATTTCGTGAGGATTCCCGTAGATTTCTTTAGGAATCCAATGGATTTCCGGAGGCATTCTATATAATTCCTTTGTGAATCCATAGGGTTCCGCAGGAAACGCGTACGATTCTTCATGAATTTCGTAAGATTGCCTCAGTACTCCACAGGAAACGTATCGGAATCCTGAGGACACGCATCGGATTCCTTAGGGAATTCGTAGGAAACGATCGGAAATCCATAGGATTCCCTGGGACATCCATCGGATCCCTTAGAAAATCAATCGGAATCCTTCGGAATCCTTGCTATTCAACATAAGAAGAAAGAAACTTCGATTCGCAAATCTCCACGCGATAATGAAGTTCGTCCTTGCCGCCTCTCTTCCCTGACCAGACCTGCATTGGCCTGGGATAGTAAATGCTCAATTGTAAAGGGGGGGTGATGATGGTCCGGGGCAGTTGGTTACCCAGTTGAATTGTACCGCCTGAAGCGCAAGATAAATAAGCGCAAGCATTGGCCTGACAGGTGCAGGAAGTGTGCTGAGCAGGCGCGCCTCTGCTAACAGCGATCCGGCGTGGTTAACACAAGCCGTCGCGAAGGAACCCACGGGACAGCAGCGCACGGAGGTGGCGGAGCGGGGCGTCGAGCGGGAGTGCCCGCGGAGAGCCACTCAGCGGGCGGCCCACGGAGGACTCCAGAGCTGCTGGGTCACAAGGGCTGCCTGGCGTGCCCTCGTCTCGCACAGCCCTGCGGGGGCTCGTGCAAAGCACGCGCAGCATTCGCGAAGGCCCTCGGGCAGGTCGGGCAGGCCATGGGCAAGGAGGGACATGAGGAGGACACACCCAGATGAGAGAGCGCGCCGAGTTGGGTGACGGGACGGACGAGCGCGGCTGGGAAAGAATAGATGCACGGCCCCATGGCACGACAGAGACGGAGAGCCAAGAGAGCCTGCGACCCAGAGCACCAGAGGAGGGACTGCATAATCACTCAGGGCCGGAGCGTAAAACTCTAACAAATAAAAGAAACAAGCAAAAAGGAGAGACCCAATACGCTTACTGCATCATCAGGGTGCTGTGAAGGATGTGGGGTGCTGGTGGCAAGGCTTGGGACCTTGGGGTGTGACAGATTGTCCAGCATCTATACCGACGGGAACGCGACCTCCCCACTTGCTCGGGCTGGCACGTCTGAAGCAGCTGAGAGGTGCCTCCGTCTCCAGAGCACGACCCGCAGCGCCGACGCACAGCAAGCCCGAGACGAAAACAGCCCGTGCTCGCGCGGCCGCGAGGTGGGAACGGTGCCCGAAAATCCAGTGGGCTGCCCCCCCTCCGCGGACGACGCACGCGGAGGCTCCGAGGCATCGGGGCCCGCTCATGCTCCGGATGCCGAGGAGCCTCGAAAACACCGAACTCAAGACGAACGAGCTCGGGTCGGGAGCGGGAGCTCGCCCGCAAGACTGCATCCTCCTGTGCGCACCTCGGGTCGGGCACCCCTCGGCCTCCACGCCCGCGTCCTCCTTAAGCCTCCGTAATATATATATATATAGAAATATATATCGAGAAAACAAAAAAGAATCACGAATTATTTTGCTTCGAACGATCCGCACCGAAACCTTACGCGTTTGCTTCCGACGGCGCGCGGTCGCCTAACTCGTCGACAACTGCTGCTTTTGGATTCAACAGCGGTTCAACCGTGCTTCATGTAGTCACGCTATTTCAGGTTATGCCCCATCATGCCCTGTTCTGTCCTCGACGGGCAAGCGTAACGTAGTGACGCATGTGACGTTAGATGCGTCGTATGTTATGATGTTCCTCTCCACTTCTGTGATTCTCATCGGATTGAGTGTTTTATGTACTGCTCATCTCTGTCACACTATGATTTGACATGCTATGGTATGATCTGCTCTGTGGCACGATGTTGTGACATGGAATGTTATGTCAAAGTATGTGGTACAATGCTCTGTTCTGTGATGCTGTTGGCTGCTCGGCTCAATATGGTATATAATGATGTGATTTGCTAGCATGTTTCGCCATGTATGCTTCGCTGTCGTGTTGTGCTCTGTTCTGTGGTGCTGTCATGACATGTACTGTTTTGTTCTGTCATGGTGCGTTCTGCTATGTTCTGCTATGTTCTCTAAGGTTGTGTTATGCCGACTTCTCTTATGGCATGCTCTGCTCTGGTATGTTGTGTGATGTCCTGTTTGTTGACGGCCCGGCTCTGTTTCGTATAGTAGGATCTGCTGTGCTAGTATGTGTCGCTATGCTCTGCTGTCGTGTTATGGTATGCTCTCGTATGTTCTGTGCTGCTGTGTCATGTTATGATGTGTTATGATAAGGTGTGTTATGTTCTGCTCGGCTATGTTATGTTATGTCGTGAGATGCCTTCTGTTCTATCATGTGCTGCTCTGTCTTGTTATGTAATGTTATGTGTGTTGACGGCTCGGCTCTGTATTATATGATATGATATGCTCTGCTGGTATGTGTCGATATGCTCTGCTGTCGTGATATGATATGTTCTTTCATGATGTGTCATGTTATGAAATGCTCTGTCAAGGTGTGTTATGTTGTGCTCGGCTCTGTTCTGATGTGTTGTGTTCTGTCGTCTTCTGTTCTGTCATGATATGATATTGTATGTTATCGGATGTGATGCTGTGCTCTATGTTGCGATGGTATTGCTATGTTCTGCTCTGTTATGCGCTCTTCTGTGTCATCTTTTGTTATGTCGTGTGCGTCGTTGCTTTGCTCTGCTCTCGTGTTGATATGTTATGTGATGCTGTGCCAAAATACGATATGTTATGTCATGGTGTGTTATGTTATGTTCGGTTCCGTTATGTGATGCTGTGTTATGCCGTCTTATGTTCTGTCATGTTCAGTGGTGCTATGCTATGCTCTATGTTGTCATGGTATTGCTATGTTATGTTGATCCATTGTTTGTCATGCTCGTGATATGTTATGCCATGTTCTGTTGTGTCATATTGTATTCTGTCGTGTTCGTCGGCACTTGGCTCTGCTGTCGTGTTTGGTGATATGTTCTATGATGCTGTGTCATGATATGATATGTTCTGCCAAGGTGTGTGAGATTATGTTCGGTTCTGTTCTGCTATGTTGTGTTC